TTTCTGGTGCTGGTTATGTTTGTTGTTAAAATTCTTTGTCCCTCCTGTATCTAAAAATGGCACTGATATCCTTATATATCACACTTGGGTATCTCAGTATCACCCAAGGGGGGTGGGAGAAAAATTTGTACTTGCAGATCTCCCGTACGGTGGCTCAAGCTGGAAATAAAAGTGACTGCTGGATATGCTCTCACAGCCCAGCGCACCTACAACAAGGAATCCCAATGATCGGAGTACCAATATCCCTCCGGCAATGGGGAACAATAAACGGCGGCTTCGTTAGACACTACTCGTTAGCTGCCCATCGGTCCGCTCCTAAAGAATGGAGGGCCGCCCCTGCTAACTGGATAATCTCCCCAAGAGTAGAGGCGCCTTTCTGTTACAGATCCAACAACACCGGAGCTTATAATAAAGCCACACCTGTAGGACACTACCCTCATTGCCTAACTACTCTAGATTATAGCCCCAATAGCACCAGTGGAATCCTGTTGGGTAATGTACCCTCTCTCAATTGTACAGGATTCATGGTCTACAACTTTTCTAAGGAACCTCATGTTGCTCTCATTGCAAACAGATCGGAATTTTACATTGACTCCAATTTTACTTCTTGTAATATATCTCGGTCCAGCAGGATAACAGCTGAACGTGGTCCGTCCTATACGATGCATATTAATCGAAAGTGCCGGATATGGCACAACACCTGTCGAGATTTGAGTACCCTTTCTGCCCCAGGCCTTTACTGGCTCTGCGGAAACAGGGCTCATAAAATCTTGCCCTGGAATTGGGTGGGGGCATGCACTCTTGGACGTGTTATCCCTGGTTTTGAAATGCATAGTACAATATATCTGGAACAAGTAAAAAATTTCAACCATCACATGAAAAGGGCGGTTAACCCCTTAGCTACCAGAAACACAGGGTTCCATCAATTTGTGAGAACCTTCATACCGTGGCTTGGAGTAAGAGAATTGGAACTAGCCATAATTAACATTTCAGCCACAATGGAAGCTATGGGAAATGCCACTGCGGATGCAATTCAGGCTCTGCAAGAAGAGATCTCCCAGATCTCACAAGTAACTATACAACACCGCGTAGCCCTAGATTACCTATTGGTATCCCAGGGAGGAGTATGTGCCTTAGTAAACTCCACCTGTTGTGTCTATGTCAATCAGGACATGCGAATTGAAACTGACATTCGTAAAATCCGAAGTCAGTTAAGGGTCTTACATCAAGTGGCCTCAGAGAATACTGACTGGGGTCTAAAGGAAATGTGGTCTTGGCTAACCTCCTGGCTCCCAGATTCCGGGGCCCTTGGCAAGAAAATCCTGTATGGAATATTGTTTGTCTTGATAGTTCTGATAATGTTTTATGTCTTAGTGCAACTGATCCTCTGCTGCGTGAAAGCCAGCAGGAGAAGCTTTAGCAAGGCAAGAAAACCCACAGCAGAGTCTAGAATAATGGTATTACAAAAGTGTGAGCAGATTGAAAGAAAACATGAAAGGCTGCATGATGAAATAGAGGGGCTCATGAGAATAAAAATTTAAGGGTAAAGTGAGACTAAATAGTCTCAAAGGGGGGGGAACTGTGGAATCAGAAAAAATATATGCCTTAAACTTTGATTATTTTAGTTATAAGATGACATAACCGCTTTGTGGAGAATTGCTGGCTCTGTATAGTAGAACAGATAAGAGAAAGTGTTTGTTCTTTGTAACTCCTCTGCAACTGCTTCGCTCACCGCGGCCTTGAAGATAGCAAAAAGTATGTACAACTCTGATTTGCAGGTGCAAGAAGGAGGTTTGTGAACTAACCTCGCCTCCCCCATTAGTTCCCATCCTGATTACAGCAAAGAAATAATGAAATAATGTTATAGCCGCTTTTCATGCTAATTTCACTATATGATCACGTGAGTTGTAAGCAACTGTTAAAAAGTATATAAGCCTCCTGATTTTGCTCTTGGGGGGGACCCCTTCCAAGTGCTTGGGAGATCCATGTCACTTTAAAATCCCCCCTACAGCTGTAGTTTCTTTTAAATAAAAGCTTCTGCTGACCTGACCCAAAAGTATGCTGCGTGTGTTTCCACGACATAGGCAACGATCGAATTTGTCAGATGCCAGGTGCAGACCACCCGCTTCTAGCGTCTGAGACAAGAGAGTTTCCCTGCTCACCGCTTCATGCCCCTTTCACCACTTAGCCCCCAAACCTTCTCAGCCTTTTTTCAGGCTCACACCGCCTGTCAGGCTATACCCGTGATTCTCAGTCGGGTGCCACGACACCCTGGGGTGCCATGAGAAACTTCTGACGGTGTTGCCCCGTGCTACTCAATACTAGATGTGCAAACACCTACACATGGTTTGTAAGATAAACCCACAGATTTCAAACAGGAATCCGGAGGGTTAACACCATTCTGACCTTCCGCGGCTTCCTTAGTTCTTTGCAATAGAAGAATTGCTCTAGTATTTTTTCTGTAGTCCAGAAATGAATGAAAGCTCAGACCTGGCATTTTCTGGGGGAGGCCTTGTGTCTAGAAAGGCTGAGAATCACCGGACTACTTTGCCATAATGGTCCCCTCAGTCCTTAACCCCAGTGAATCCCAAATACAGCCGGTGCCGCACCTACCCTGGGCTTTGCTACCTAATAGTGTGCCCTGGGTGTGCTACAGTGCACCTGCATTTTTGTAACCTGTGACCCTTTTTTATCTGCGCATCTGAGTTATGTTCACAGAGCAGCTTTTCGCCATGCACAGCCAGGTGTTGGGAGCCCAAACTTGCACATCTGCCACCAGCCTACTTGGCCGTCACTCTGTGTACCAGGGAAAATCTGTGCATTTGTCCTGTGTTGCTTCAGCAGCGAGCAGCGCCTCAAGGCCCATTGCAGAAAGCAGACTGTAGGGCAGTGGGGTGGGAGAAAGGAAGGCAGGCGAGCCTGGTTTGGCAGAGGTGGATGGCGATGCCCTTTTACTGCAAAATGTTTTCAAGTTCATTACAAGGAAATCAGCATGTGCTCCCCAAGGCCACTAGTAATGGAGAAGCGTTAGTAACCGTGTTGGTTGTGTGCAGATATACCTCTTTACAGATAAGTAGAGTCAAAAACCGGAAGTAGCGTGCAGTCTTTAACCGTGCATACACAGCGGTGAAGGATACCAGTACAGCGCACTGCACTTGGACGCAGAGCGGACGATACCCCTGTGTACTCACCCAGTGCGTGCGCTCGTCCCAGCCATACACACTACGTGCACAGAGCCGCCAGTGCCGTGGCATGAGCAGAAGGAACCGGCGCGTCTGACGTTTGCAGTCTCAGGGCTGCTCTTAGATACTTGAGAATGACAGCCTCGAGTTAGCTTCACCTTGCTGTAAGGAGCCTGGGCAATGAGGGCTGAGAGCAGCCCGAAAACTGCCTCGGTTGTCATGTGCAAGGGTCCTGACTGACAGCAGCCCTCTGACAGCTGCTTCCTCTGCATGGTTTCTGGCCCCAATTAGCACACAGTTAAACAGAGTACAGGTCCGTTCCAGAGCAGAGAGGGGGACTGAAAGGTGCCATGCACTCACGTGGTCCGTGTATTTAACTGCTATGCAGATAACTGACGTTTGGTACAACATTAGTAATAGGCAAAAAATGGGATTAGCATTCAGTTAACGAGGGAAGCAAATGATGCACGTATGCAGCATGCATGCAAGCGGAGTCGGCTGCACTGCTAGCAAGCTTATTATATGGCACCCATGATCACCCTGATGGCTCAGCGCTTAACCCACTCGGTGTGAAACACTCACACGCACCTTTATTATAGTCATATTCTTCCCCGTATGTATTTACAATCGGCGGCCTTCCCAGCGCTGAGGAAGGTCCAGGCCACAGACAGCCCACGCCTCACGGTGCACACAACGCAGGAAGTGATGGAGCCAGCGACCGGGAGATGCATTGAGAAGGCCGGTCAAGGAGCAATGTTTTCACCGCTTCCAACAGCGATTCCCCCGTGGAAAACACCGGGCAAGATGCAGGTCTCCAGGGGAGATTCTGGATGACGAGACGGCAGCAATTATTGGGCATTTCACGAAGACAGGCATTGTGCAAGAGGGCGCAGCGATGATGCAGGGGAAGCGCCTGACTGGGCCCTCGTCTCGTCCGGACTTACATTGTACTGAAACACGTTGAACAGGTGTGTGCGCGTGCAGCTCTTTCCAGGTTATGATGCGTGTGCACGCGAGGCAGGAACTTCGGGACCGGGACCGGGCCCGGGCCCTCTCTTGAACTCGGTCCGGGCCCCGCACGGATGGTGGTGCTCGCATGGCATCCTCCAGGAGGGATGCTTCCTGGGCGGCTCCCTGCCCTGGCACCCTTGCGGCTGCGACGCGCACCGACGTGGCGAAAGCTCC